AAGCCAAGCGTCCCATTAATAGCCAGACATGTGGTAAAAGTGGCGAATAATGGGCCACTTGGCTTGCCATACTTTACGCACAGGAGAATCTCCAGATGGCTCTGAGCATGCACAACTGCTGATACAACTCACGCATATGTTTCAGACATAAATAAAAAATCTTAGCTACAGTAAAAAAAAAAAAAAACATAAAACGAGAGATATATGTATTATTCACATTAATCACGTATCAAAACAACAGCGCTAATTTGTCAAAATAACAGCGATCAAAATGTCGAAACGACAGTCCAATTTACTTTAGTAATTACTGTAAATGGATGGATGGATTGTCCTTAGCTGGACAACCGAGAAGTCAGTCGTAATTGAGGTTGGAGCAGCAGGAGCAACAACGAGCAGGAATGAATTCAGCGGAGAAGATCAACTCAGAAACATGAAGTGGTGGTGGTGGTGGTAGGATGCTTGACCCAATGGGAGCAGCTCTATTCACACACAACCTGTTGTTGTTCTCTAAAATAGTAATTTTCTGTTATCAAATGTTTACAAATTTAGGTAAACATAGATGTTTAACAACTCATTAAAATGGGCTACTCCAAAATGCAGGAAATAGCATCTAGTTTATTCAAAAATTTAAGGGTGAGGAGGACCTACAAGCTCCCTCCACTTCCCCCGCTCCCGCCCGCACCCCCTCCCCCGCCGGCCGCCCACTATTTGCGTTCCAGCATCGACCAGTTTACAAATTAAGCCCTGCCTGAGACACCATATATTCAGAGTCCTAAAAGGGAACAAGTTTAACCTTGTATTGTCCTTTAACTTTATGACCCTTCATGTTCTTTAAGGGAAAAATTGACCACCTCTTCGACCATGGACATAGTTTTCTAATGTTCTGATGCATGCTCAATAATCCAGGTAGAAACACCCAAAAATGTTAAGTCTGGTCCTCTGGACGGGTTAAAAAAAAAAAGCTGATTTTTTATTATTATTATTATTATTATTATTATTTTTAGATACTGTA